AAAGCAGCCACAGATAATACATAAACAGAAAGGCATGTCTGTATTCCAAAGAAAGTTTATCTGCCAAATCAGGAAGTGGGCAAAATTTTGCCCACAGGCTTCGGTCTGCAGATCCCTGAAAAGATTAATCTAACTGACAAATCTCTGGCAAGGCTAATCAGGGGAAAAGAGACAACGGTACAAACAATATTAGGTCTTAAAAACTATAAACTATCCCAATAAGTTTGAACACTTACATGAAATGGACAGATTCTCAGAAAAGTTGTGAATTATCAAAAGTGACTCAAGAAGGGACACTAACCTGATAGCCCTATAATCTTTTTTTTTTCCATTAACCAACATCATTTTAATTATACATGATAATATTTAAACATTAATGAACTGAAAGAATTATATTTCCATTATTTCTTCAGATTTCATTAAACCCCAAACTTAGCAAAGTCTAACCTACTTTTAAAAATGATCGAAAGGAAATGTCTGGCATTTCTTTCAAGTATGAGATGGTGAAATTGTTCCACTAAAGCTCAGAGTTCAGAATAAAGCATTGTACCTAGTAAAAGTATGTTCAGGTCTACCAGGTTCCCTGATTTGACAATCCCTGTCTCTCAAAACTAAAACTATTGGGCTTCTCTGACACCCTCAGCCTTGCCTTCTTAACATTACAGTGGTAGCTGACCTAAACCTGACACCACCATGTATCCCATGGGCCTAGGTCCTTGTTTTTGCAATCTTCTTAGCACTCCAGCTTCTATAGCATTTCCATTACATCTACAACTTATCCACTAACTCTACCTTCTCCTCTTTTTCTCCTTCCTGTCTTTGAGTCCCAGAGCTCTTTGGCTGGAAGCTGCTATCTGCTGACAAACATTCTCTATAATGCCGACTTGTCTGTGCTTCTCTCTCTGAATATTATAAGCCCCTACATTCTCCACGGCCTTGCTCTTCTCAACTTTCAGTCTTTCTCTTTATCCACTTACTGCTTTAAGGTTTGATGCACTCTGCTTACCTAGTTTACCACGTACTCTACCAAAACATCTGGACAGATGGAACTCTGCCTGCCTGGACCTCTTTGTAATCCTGCTCCTGGGTTTGTCATTAGCACCTGCCCCACGCCAGTTAACGAGTGTGGTTCTAGGCCTCAGCCTCTTACATTATTATGCTCATGGTCTGACCCCTATGACCAGGCCATACCTAGCCATGTCCTAAGACCATCACTGACTGTCTAGCTTTAAAGAAAGTGTCTGTAACAATGATTCATTCTACAATTCTTCACAATAAAATGGAATGATTATAAATTTTACAATGTATACTGGGAAACAAATATAAAGTGCATATAAAAATGAGAATTTTATGTACTCGTGAGTTGAAAATTATTTTTCAGGTATAGATAACTTCCTGATGTTCATCTACTTGTGACCTACTTATATGTCTTGAAAGATGAAAAGAATAGTGTCCACAGAGTTTGTAATACTATACACAGGGTCAGAAATACTACTAAAAGTGGATTAAGAATAAGTCATATCTTTCCTTATTTAGAACTTGAGGACAAACTAGTAACCTTCTTTAGTCTTAGGAATTTAGAAAAACTCAAGTCTTTCTCTCATTTTAAACAGTCAAATTAAAAAATGTGAAATTATCACAATACCTAAATGGTACATTTGATAGTAGCTTCTTTAATTCCCTCAGGATTTCATCATTTCTACCAAATTCTTGGATGGTTACTAGTTTGAACAAAGTGCTCTGATGCATAAACTTCTATCCTAAAATATATTATTGGACCAGATTCATACACTTGACTTACAAATAATAAGTGGTCTAAGTTAAGTTTCAAAAACACAAGCCACATTTTCCAAAGCTCCACCCCCACATCTCCGCCTACTAGCACTCATTTTGATTGTTTCCTTCTTTTGGGAAACCCACAATGGGCTCATTACTTAAATACCACCTGTGCCTATTTATTCAAAGAAGCAAAGAGCCCCTTAGGAAAAGTCAAGTGTGAAATAATTCATTTTGGATTTTTTAAAAGCAGGTTAGAAATTTTTTAAGTGAGATTGATAGGGTTTATTGAAGTCATCTCTTTAACATACTTTTGCTTTAATAAAAGTACAGGTCCTTGACTATGTTTCATCTGCCATGTTTTAAGAACTATATGAAAGCTAGATTAAAGCATGAACCTAAAACTGCCAACACGTTTCGCCCTTTGTTTCCTATCACAAGAGCCTTTAGCAGATTCCTCTACACTGGGCCACAAGTAATGAAAGTGTCAAAGTGCAGCTGAATTATAATGCTACTTGTATTTTCTAGATCACAAGTTCTTGTTAATTTATTACTGTATGGCAACAATACATAACAATTACATAAGGACATGCCCAAAGGAGATCAAATCATAGAATCCCTGTGACTAATTTTGCTAACCAATTCTCTGATATTAAGCATCAGTAGACATTCATATCTATAATAATTTAAAAATATCAGACGGTGAAACTGCTGAAAAGAAGATTAATATATAAAAATCGGCCAGTGATAGTAATTTAAAAAGGAAACAATTTCATTTACAATTATATCCCCTTTATATCTTATTCATGCATGTATAAAAGCAAAATAAATGTAAATGTTTATAATACAAACATTTAATATACACATGTATAATACACAGTATTTGACCTAACAAGAAATGTTTAAAACTGTGAATAAAGAACTAAAAAATTACAGAAGAATATAGAAGAGCTAAGTAAATGCACATACTATGTTACTGTATGGGAGTTTTCATTATTGTAAATATATCATTTTCCCCCCAAATTAACCTATACCTTTAGGGCATTTCTAATCAAACACCAGCAGAAATTTTGGGGAAATTTGACGAATACACTAAAAACTTCATTTGAGAAGGAGAAATGTGTAAGATTACCTAAAAAAAAAAGATGCTGCACAAGAATACTATTGAAGGGGCACTTGCCTTTCCATATATAAAATATAGTATTTTGCTACAGTAACCGTCATAACTTTACACTAGTGAAGGAACACAGAATCAGATGAATGAAAGGACACAGGACAAGATCAATGACCATTACTATACAGAATTAAATTTCCACATGGCAACCAGTCTAAAAGGTCAAAGGACATATGATCATCTGGAAAAATATTTACAATCTAAGACAAAAAGTTAATATACTTACAACATAAAAAGTTTTTACCAATATTTTAAAGGTAAGACAACTCCAACAATAAAACAAAGGATATGAACATAAAATTGGATGTCTATTAACCACATGAAAAGATGCTCTTCCTCAATAATGAAAGTTACTTTGAGCAATGCAAATTTTTCTTAGACTGACGAAAATTAAAAATGACAAATGCAGTATCAGCAAGAGTGTGGAAAAATGGACATTTGCATATAATAATGATAAAGAAAATATAAATTGTTCCAGCTTTTTTAGATGGCAATTAAGCACTATCTACTATAATAGTAAATCTACATATTCTTTGGGTCCATGATTTTACATTTGGAATCTATTCTATAGGAAAAGATGTACAAATCTGTAAAGGTATATGTGTATAATGTTTTAATATATAAAATTTTAAACTATGTATATATAATATTTATATTTACATAAATATTTTCTATAATTACATACATATATATAATATATATATTTAAAATATATAACATTTTTAAAAAATGAAAACAACTTAAGTGACATCAAAAAGTGAATGGCTAAGATAACAGCACATACATACTGTGAAATATAATGTAATCCATAAATGAATACAGTAGCTCTATACGTAATCGCTTGAAAATATAATAGTATACTGTACTTTGAGTATATTATTAAGTTTTAAAAAAAAGAATTTGGAGAAGTGTGTAAAATATGACCCCACATTTGTGTATGTAAAGGAAAGTAGCTGGATGTTTACAGATTCAATTACTTCACATCCTTCTGTACATACTGAAACTTTTTCAATGAGTATATACTATTTTTTTGTTCAAGTACAAGTCTGTGGGGAATGATCTTATGTTTCTAAGTAATGAAATACTGCATTCAACTGAAAATTTTTTTCAAGCAGAATTTCTCTCTTTCTTCTAATGGATAAATGGCTATAAATTTTAGCTATGAAACAGCTTTTGTTTTAAAAAGGTAATTTTTAAATGCACTTATTTTTCAAGTATTTATTGAGTACATTAGATTCAGAGGATATAAAAATGAATGAGATGTAATTTCTACCATGAAGAATCCCAAAGTATACTGTGAGGGACAGACCAATATATTAAAAAGTACAATAAAGTGTTGAAGTTACTGTGATAGAAATATGCACAGGGGTAAAAATGGAAAAGAAAGGTCATTCTACTTAGGGGAAAACACACTATAAAAGACTTAAGCTCATGCTTGAGTCTTAAAGATGATGTATTGGCCAGACAGACAAGAAAAAGGGAGCAAATGTTAAAGAAATATACATACATGTATTCTTCTACTTAAGCAAAATATTTCTTGATAGACTGCTACAAAAACAAAATGAGGATTTTTAATTTCAAATGTCACAACAAAACAATATTCAAAGCTACAATAATTCTTCTAACATTCATCTAATATAATTTTTTCTATGCTATGTGAAAATCACTAAGTTCTGGTTATTTTTTTACAACTTTTTTTTCTAAAAAGTCTACAAAAATGATATTTAAGTTAATTTAAAATTTCATTTTAATTCTTAATTAAAAGACAAACTGCCTTGTAAATGCAGACTTTATGCTTTCACTACTTAAACTGATAGCATTCTAGGAGTCACTCTACACTACAATTTTAAAGTTAAACATGTTTGAATTCAACACAGAAATACCTTAACACCATAAATATGGTCAATTTTCACTAAAGAGTTACATTTTGCTCAACCTAAATGTCTTTAATCCAGGGAGTGTATCATCTCTGCTGTAAACTATTACCAAGTTAATCTCTTTAAGAGACAGCACACCACATACACACAAAGAAAAATGTGGGCTTTTTTACCTCATGAAGTGTGAGGTGTTTCCCATCCTTTCTCTTCGAATCAAATCTGCCATATATTGCACTGTATTTTCGAATTTCCTCTTCTTTGTGTGGATCGTCATCACTCATCTCAAAGATGTGACCAATCATCTTGGCCAACTTCTTGTTGGTTTTCAGCAGCTCTTTAACTTCGTTCAAGTCACTTTTTGGCAGCGTGGGGGCCATCCGCTCCACACACTCGGCTACAGAGAGTGCAGCGGCAGCATCCAGCACCTCGCTGCTTTCTTTCGGGGAAGCTGGGGAGCCGAGGTCAGCCGGGGAGAGGCTGTGCTCGCTCTCGGAGGCGTGGTGGCCCTGCCAGAGTCGGGAGTCACTGATACTCTGCAGTGCTAAGCTGCCTACCACGTCTGACTTCCCCTGTCCCAAGCTCTGCACGCACGTGGTGGCAGCACACTTGGGGATTTTTAAATGAGGTTCTCGGGAACTGCTGTTCCTTTCATAACTGCTGCAGGATATTCCCAGCCATGTCGGTGAGCCCTCTGGTAACTTATAGATGGGTATGCTACTGACAGGCAGAGACGTCAGTGGCTGATTGAAAAGGCCAGGGTTTGTAACCCAGTCTCTCAAAGCCTTCTGCAGCCTTCTAACATGAAGGGGCTTGCTAGCCATGCCCACGAGTGCCATGATCTCCAGGAACTCCTCTTCTCCAGCTTCACAGAGTTGCTGGACATCATCACCACCTTGTTGGATAAAGGCATCAAAATAAGAAAGCAGGTTGGCTTTTTGTAATATTCTATACAGCTGCAACTCCCCCAGGGTCCTGGGTAAGGCTGCGGCCATCACTGTGGATGGGCTTAACCTGCAAAAAGAAGAGAGGAAACGCTCATCACACTTGCTAAAAAACTTCTTAAGCCTCTTTGTCGGACACTACAGGGTTTAAGATTGCAGTATGGGAAGAATAAAAAACAAGGAGCATTTGCACAGCAACTGACTGTTAAGGAAGCATTCTCTCTATGCTATGTGTGTGATGTGTGTATGTGCGTGCACTCAGTCATGTCTGACTCTTGGCGACCCATGGACTGTAGCTGCCAGGCTCCTCTGTCCATGGGACTTTCCAGGCAAGAATACTGGAGTGGTTTGCCATTTCCTTCTCCAGGGGATCTTTCTGACCGAGGGATCGAACCTCAGTCTCTTGTGTCTCCTGCATTAGCAGGTGGATTCTTTACCACTGATGCCATCTGGGAAGCCTCTCTGTACCTGTAAGTTATCTTACTCTCCTAACAATCATAATGATCAATAGTCAGTAATAGTTTCCGTTGTAAAGGAAAAAAATATAAAGGCTCAAAGATCAGCAATTTGCCTGAGATCTCATAGGTAGCTAAACAGGTCTAGCGACTTAAGCCAAACATGGCTCGCCGGGCTCTGTATCCTGTATTTTTGAGCACTCAATCTGCTGCTTCCACGGTGCCACACAGAGATGAAGTGAAGGAGAACAAAATTCTGAAGGAGGTAAGAGTGTACTCTGCTACTATGCACCGAACACTTGTGTCAGACCATGTGATAAACAGGCACTGAACGTTACATCTCATCCTCGCAACACCCTGTGAGATGGCTATAGTTAGCTCTTATTTTATAAAGAAAAAGTAGCAAGATTAGCCTGGCAGACAGAAGATGAGAGATTTCAGTATGAACTAGAATTGATAAGATACAAGGTGGTATACTTAGGAATGGAGAAAAAAGAGGCAGGAAAAATTCAGACAAATAAATGGCAAGACTTGGTGATCACTTAGGTGTAAGCGATGAAAAGAGAGGAAACAGTTACCATTTTTTAGAAATACTTTTTGTGGTTCCAGAAACAGACTAATAGGTGACTATGGGATTACCTATGCAAGAGTCTAGAACTGCAACAGGCATCAGGGATACAGAAAATTAGGGATGTTGGAATTCCCTTTCAAACACATGGCACTTAAGAAAGTAGCACAAGACATAATGCTGAAGCAGAGCTGTCCTGTTTGCAAAATAACAGCATGGAAACTCAGTTTGTCTCAGGGTTAAAGACAGAGGATGAAGCCAGCGGGTATGGAAGAGCCCAAGACAGAGCCAAGGAAGTTATACTCCTAGAGCCCAAGGAAGGCAGAGAAGTCTCCCTTTAAAGAGACAGAACAAGACCCAGCAAAGCACTTCTTGACCTCTTAGCAGTTTTATTTAAAAGTCACTCACAGTTGCCTGGAGACGTCCCACATATATAGAGGAGCTGGCCAAGTACTTCCAGTTAAGAGAAACAAACTTGTAATCAATGCACCTTTAGGATTAAAAGGCTCCTACAGCCCTCTATAGCAAAAATTATAGAAAGCCAAAAGAATACATACATTGGAAGAAAATGCAAGTACACTCTCAACTCAAGAAAGTCAGGAGCAATTGTTAACTGGGAGATTCAGCAAGCTGAGGAATATTGGGAACAGCCCTGAAGGCCAGATCAACAAATTTGGGACTTCTGCTTTACATCATTGGGCAGACTGCTATATCAAATTCTAGTCTCAGTCATCGCATCCAAGGAGAATGCATTTCCCTACCACCTTAAGGACTGACTCCCAGGAAACCCCAACTCCTGGAACCCCTGCGTCACCCACAATCTGCTCTCATCAACTACTGACCTCCTCAAATTTTACGGCTCTTTTTAAGTCATGACCTGATGACTTCCCAAGATATATATTTTTTTAAAAATTCAATTTGGGACCACTAAACTTCTGCTGACAGCCAGGAAATCACTTGGGGCGCCTTTGAAAAATATAATTTCCTAGGGTTGCATCTCAGAAGACTCTTATGATTTGGCAAAACTGGCAAACTACACTGGAAGATCCCTATTTAGTGTACCCTCTGGGCACCACAAACTCTTACACAGCTTCTGAGACCACCTTTGTGTTCATGTCACATTAGTTCTCTGGATAGAAACATTTCTGCACCTTCTGAATCACTCATAAGAGGATGTGTTCTATCCTCCCACTCACAGGGAGACCTCTGAGGGAGAGAATCGATCATCCAGCTGGACACTAACCCACAAAAACAAGCTCTGGGGAGTTACAGACTCAAGTTCAAGTCTATACTGAACAACATTATACCAAATAGAAGGGTTTCTAGAAAGCGTATGAGATAGAGGGAAGGAAACCCATTTTCCCTTCACACACTTAATGCAGTAATTCCACAGGCTTTCAACTCCAGAGTATACACATACATAAACATGTATGTATACACATATACACGCGAAAGCTTTTTTATAAGAGGGCTGTAACCTTGCAAGATTCATGGCGTCATCAATGACCTCACCATCTATACTCCCCCAAATTATGGAGTAAGCTAAAAATTACCTGAGAAAATCTAGAACAGAGTTCTTGAATCTTCTTATGAGCAATAACAAAGAATATATCATGGACAAATATAAAAGAAAAATTTAAGAAAAAGAGAATTCAAAACTCACACTTAGGTTTTATTCTCCTGAGATAGTCAATGGTTTTAGAAAATCTTAATTTTCAATTTTTATCCTTTCTCATCTTTACCCAGAAAAAAAAAAAAAAAGGACACCCTCTAGTTTCCTAAGAGAAAGCTCTTATGTTACAGTAAGAAAGTAGTTACCATTATAACATCTCCACCAGTAGACCAAGTGTACGTTTCCGAAGTCAAGATACCAGATGAAAGATAAATAAGTGAACTATTTAGAGTCCCAGGAGACTTGCTAAAGGCCCACACTTACTGCTGGGAAAGGGCTTTTCTCCCTAAGCTTTCTGCTTTAAGAGCACGTTTCAGTTTCTCATAAAGCCCGTTGCAATCATTTAAACACCCACCACTTCATACATTAACTTAATTTGATTTAAAAGAAAATTTTTATAAGACAAGATTTTCTGTTTTTACAAACTCTGTCTATTCATGCTTCAACGTGAAGGTCAAATAAATCAAAAGAAAGCTGCATCTCTCTAATCGGAAGTGAACACAAAAGGATTGTAATACAATGCAACGTAACATAGGCAGCTAACAGCACAGTAAGTCTACTCAGCTGAAAACTCCAGATACCTGGCCTGTGCAAGAGATGCTGGAACAACCATGCTGAGTCTGACCTTTTTATGAATTCCACAATTAAGAGAAATCAGTTACCCATTTTTACTGCATTCAAAAACTAAACCAAGGGCCTGCTGCCTATATACAGCAAACCTCCACTTGCACCAGCTTAAATGTTCTTCAGTCCAGTTAGTCCCAAAGGAAGAGGAATAAAACAGTGATTCATTTAAGGCCATTTGTTGTTGTTTGCTAATTCAATGATCTATTTTAAATGGTAATAATTTGTTCCAGAATCTTTTAAAGACAAACTCACTTTGGCTCCTTCTGGGGTAGGATCAGTCATCTGCCAAGACTTAAACTATGCTAAGTGAAGTAAGGAGCTGGTTTGGCTCCAAAAGCTTTACTGGTCAACTCCTGCTTTGTCCTTGAACCACAACACAGAACTTAGTATAAATATGGGAAACAAAATTTCTCTTTCTCCAAGCTGGGTTGTGGGGATTTAGGGTAAGACAGAGGTCTTTAATGGTCACAAGAGAAAAGAAGAACCATTCCTTCAAACCTGCCTCAGTCTAGTCCAAGAAGCTTCAGCCTGCCTTCTGTCCCAACTCTTCCATCAAAGCTCCCAAGTAACTACTGAGTGATCACCAGTTTTTCTCTTTAACCTCTCTGCAGTTTGACATCACTCCTTGAAATGCTCTTCACCTGACTTTTTACTATGTTATGCTGCCTTCCCTTACTCTATTCTAATTGCAGGAATTCTCCAAATTTTTATATTATATCCCATTTCTACTATCTTTCCATATTCTCCCCTGATGATGCCCTAGGCTTCAATATTCCCTATAGCAGACTGACCTGCAAACCGCTATCTGTAGCTTGGACCAGTGCTTTATGGAGTCACTGCGAAGTGCTCTCAACCCAAACGCACACCAAGTGCTGACTCATACATATACATCTACTTTGCAAAGTAAAAAAAAAAAAAAAGAACTTTGTGATTTAATCTCATTTAATACTGTGATCATATTCAAGTTGTCATTATAAGTATTCTTTATTGATAAAACACTAAAAGCAAAATTAATGAGTACTTGCTATTTTTTTTTAAATTTAGAAAGTGATCTTCAAACCTGAAGAATGTGAGAACCCAAATTGTTTTTCTGATAATTCAGCATTTCACATGGAGACTGTCAAACTTCTCAAATCTGGTAAGCCCAAAAGCAAGTATGTGCTATCATCTTCCTCCCTTCTTCCAGATTCCCAAATCTATTCTTCCCAACTCTCATTCCTTTTAGTTGCACCACCACCCTTCCAGTTTTCTGGATTAATAAAAGTAGGAGTTTATTTTTTTTTAATTTTATTGTGATACAGTTAATGTACAATATTATACAGAAGATTCATGTGTACATTATAATGATTCACAATTTTTTTTTAATGATTCACAACTTTTAAAGGTTGTATTTCTTTTCTGGGCTTCCCTGGTGGCTCAGCTAATAAAGAATCCTCCTGCAATGCGGGAGACATGGGTTTGATCCCAGGGCTGGGAAGATCCCCTGGAGGAGGGCATGGCAACCCACTCCAGTATTCTTGCCTGGACAATCCCATGGACAGAGGAGCTAGGCGGGCTACAGTCCATAGGGTGGCAAAGAGTCGGACACGACTAAGCACAGCACAGTGTTTCTTTAATAGTCATTATAAAATGTTGGCTCTATTTCCTGTGCTGTGCAATATATCCTTGTAGCTTATTTATTTTATACATAGCAGTTTGTACCTCTTAACCCCTTTCTCCTATCTTGCCC